AAGGGCCTCTGGGAATCAGATCACTAAGCTTTTGCCAGAAACCTAACAATGAACCTGGGTGTAATGGCCCCTGCCTGTATTTTCAACAACCCGAGCACTTGGGAGGCCTAAGGCAAGAGCCAATCAATGAGTCTGAGGCTAGCCTGAGCTACACAGAAAGTCTGAGGCCTATGATTGGGGATATAGCTCAGTAATAGAGTCCTTGCTTAGCATGCATGAGTAATTAGGTGGGAAGAAGGAACAAAAAGTTCAAGGACAGCCTCATAGTGAAACCTTGTCAGAAAACAACAAACAAAAAAAAAACCAGAACCCTAGTAACAGTAGAATTTATTTGATTCCAGAGTCTAATGATATTGGCCAGTATTCTAGACAGAGATCTGGAAAACATCAAAAAGAGAAGTCTTTAATCCCAGCACTTAGGAGGCATAGGCAAATAGCTCTCTGAGTTTGAGGCCAGCTTGGCCTACATAGTGAGCTCCAAACTAATCAAGGTTATACAATAAAAAAGGAAATTTTATTTATTTTATTTTACATGTGTGCAGGCACCACAAAAACTAGAAGAGCATCAGATCCCTTTGAACTGGAGTTAAAATTGGTTGTGAGCCATCTAATGTGGGTACCAGGAACTGAACCCTGGTCCTCTGGAAGAGCAGCTAGAACTCATGATGGCTAAGCTGTTTCTCCAGCCTCTCTATGTGCTTCTAATATATAAAATATACAATTTCGGGGGCTTGTAAGATGGCTCAGTCATAAAATGCTTGCCATGCAATTATGAGAACCTGAGTTCCACCCCCAGCACCCAAGTAAAACAACTGGGCACGGATGTGCAGGCTTGCTGTAACAGGACTCAGGAGGCAAGGACAGGAGGGTCCCTGAGGCACAGTGGCCAGCAAATCTAGTTGAATCAATGAGTACCACATGTAGTGAGAAAAATTGATGGGAGATTTTTCTGTACATATGTTTCTCTTATTGGTTGATGAATAAAACACTGATTGGGCAACAGAAGCAAGAAGATAGGCAGGGCTACTAGACCAGGAGAATTCTGGGGAGAGAAGGCCGAGAGAGGCCTCAGGAAGAGACTCCATGTAGAGACCACGAAGATAGGACACGTCAGGCATTCTCTGTAAGATAAGGCCATTTAGAAATACATAGATTAATAGTTATGGTTTAATAATTAAGAGAGAAGTAGCCAGTAAGAAGCCCTAGCCATTGGCCAACAGTTTTATAATTAATATAGCGTCTGTTGTGTTTATTTGGGGCAAATCAGCTGCGGGACCAGGCTGGAAAGAAACTCCAGCTATAAAATACTGCTTTAATGAAGTAGAGAGCAATTTTAAAAGATCTCGGATGTCAGTCTCTCATCTGCATAATACATATGCATGCATACCTGCACACAAGAACATGTACACACAAATAAAAATACACAGGATGGAGGCTAATCTATCCATTATTGAGATTATTTTTAAGTTTTATAGGCTGAGCATTGGTGGCACATGCCTTAATCCCAGCACTTGAGAGGCAAAGGCAGATGGATCTCTGTGAGTTCAAGGCCAGCTCAGTTCTACAGAGCGAGTTCCAGGACAAACTCCAAAGCAATACAGAGAAACCCTGTCTCAGAAAAAAAAAAAAAAATTAAGTTTTATAGTCTGAATGCCACTTCTCTTATTTCCTGGCTATGTGGTCTCATCCCCAGACTTTTCCTTCTTCTTGCCCAGCATCCCTTGCCTCATATGCCAGAACAGGTGCTATTAATTTGAATTCTATGGTTTTGTTAAGAGACCTTTATTAATCCCTACAACACTTGAAAAGCTAATTAGTGAAGTACAGAATCTGTAATAGCACTGGGACAGCTAAATTGAGGGCAGACATTGTAGTTCCTCTCTACACAAAGTCATGGAAAGAGCAATACTTGGGGAAATAGATCTAAGTGGTTTCCTGCAAAATTAGGCTGTGAGTGTGAAGAGGGCTGGAGAGATAGCGTCAGCAGTTAAGAGCACTGGCTGCTCTTCCAGTGGAGCCAGGTTCTATTCCCAGCCCCACAACAGTATGGAACGCTAGTCCCAGGGGATCTATGCCTTTTTCTGACCTCTTCAGGCACCAGGTTTATACATGAAGCACATACATACATTCAGGCCAAACATCCACACACATAAAATGACAATTCTAAAAATCAAAACTCTAAAGTGTATGAAGAGCTACTTCTAAAGCTTTCTTTTTTCTTTTGGACAGATTCTAAGTAGCCCTGGCTGACCCGGAACTCTATGTAGACCATACTAGTCTCCACCTCACAAATACCCACTGCCTCTGCCTCCTGAGTCCTGGGATCAAAGGTGTGTACCACCACTACCTGCCTAAAGCTTTTTTGTTTGCTCCTCCCACAGAACAGAAACCTTATGTAGTTTTTTTTTGGGGGGGGGGTGTCTTGTTTTTCTTTTTGTAATACTAAGGATTGGACCAGAGGCTACATCCCCAGTCCCTGGCTTTGTAAGCTAGAATCTCACTATGTAGGGGCTAGAAAGATGGCTCAGAGGTTGAGAGTATGTGTTACTCTTCCAGAGAACTTGGAGTTCAGGTTTCTAGCACCTACATGGTAGTTCACAACCATCCATAACTTCAATTCCAAGAGACCTGATGTCCTCTCTAATTACTGCTAGCACCAGGCATTCGAGGTACAAATGCATACATGCATGCACTCAGGAGACAGAGGCAGGTAGACCTCTTGAATTCAAGGCCAGCCTGATCATAGTGAGTTCCAAGAGCTACAGAGTGAGACCCTATGTGGAAAAACAAAAAGAAAAGAAAAAAATGCCCTAAAAATTTGTCAATGAGACATTTTTTTCAAATTAGGTTCCCTCCTCTCAGATGATCTCATCTTCTGCGAAGCTGACATGAAACCAGTCAGGATACTCACACACATAAAATAATTTTTTTTTGAGACAGAGTTTCAAACAGCCCTGGTGGTCCTGGAACTCACTCCGTAGACCAGACTGGCTTCCAACTCACAGAGAATCACCTGCCTCTGCGTCCGGAGTGCTGGGATTAGAGGTGTGCACCACTACCACCCAGCTACAAACAAATGTTTTTTAAAAAGGAAAAAGACTACCACTATGTACCCCAAGCTGGCTTCAACTCAAATTCTACTGCCTTTGCCTCCTAAGTGCTGGTATCACAGGCATAAACTACATCTGATTCCCTGTGCAATTTGGGGAGGAGGATGAAATAAAGTGTCATTCTAGCAGCCTGGTATAGGTTGAAAATCTAGGTTTGATTTTATAGCAATCCTGTGTCAAACTTCAGTGTTGGCATTAAAACTGTAATCCTCCAGCCAGGCTGTGGTGGCACACACCTTTAATCCCAGCAAGCAGGAAGCAGAGGCAGGTGGATCTCTGTGAGTTCGAGAGGCCAGCCTGGTCTATAAAGTGGGTTCCAGGACAGGCTCCAAAGCTACACAGAGAAACCATGTCTTAAAAAACACATCAAAATGACCGTAATCCTCTCATTCATCCAGTCCATTACCAAATCCTATCTAATTTACTTCCCAGCTATCCCCAAGATACTGTAAAACTGTCTTCAGCTCCACCTTCAGCTTGGTTCTCACTGACATTGCTGATCAGAACTACAGTGCATGCTCCCAAAGTGGTCCATTTGCCTCCAATAAACCTCCCCTCCTCTCTCCAATCTCATAACACCATTAAGCCTGAAGGAGCAAGCCTTCTCCTCCTCCACATCCCACGCCCTGGAGGGGAGACAAAATTTTCATTGGTTTCCTATTAATTGTAAAGTTAAAGCTACAAATTCCTGCAAATCTTCATGACCCCCAGGTTATCTCGTACCATAACCCCCTTCAAGTGCTCTCTCAGCATACTGGCTCTTCGTGCCTCTTAGTCATCTTCCCAAATGATAGGGCACTACTGCACACGCTGTTCTGTGAAGAACGTTCTGCCTTCTTCCTCTCTTCCCCGAATTAGAACTGTCCGATCAAACGGCAACAGCTCAGGCATCTTTTCCTCTGAAAATCCTTCAAGCTCATTAGTTACTCACAGCATGAGGCATCGCTCTCTTCGCTAGTCTTCCAATCAACTGGTGAGATTAGTTTAAAATGTTTCCCACACACACCCCAAGAGACACTAAAGCCCTGAAGTTAGAGAACATGTTTCTTCAGTGTCCTCCAACGCTCTGCACGATAAACGCCACTTGGATCGCTTATGAGAAGGCCTGGTACACAAGCATGGACCTTAGATTTCTCAACAAAATTATGCTTTGGAGGAACCATCGGATACTTCCTCCATCACTGTCTGTCTGGGGGCATAAATTAAGCCCTTAAAAAAAGACGGTTGAACCAATGGTATAAACTAAGTCCGCCTCCTCAGCCAAACCCGGCACTGAAGCCGGGAGGCCGGGAGTCGGGCATCACGCTAGTACAGCGCTGGAAGCAAAAGCGGCGTTGTGCAGAGCAGCTAGCTGTCAAGGGACAGCGGCCTTAGGGTTCCAGTCCTGCGGTCAGAGATCCCAAAGCTCCGCTCTAGCCTGCCAAGGGACTACTCTTTCCAGAACGCTCCCCTACCCCCACGGCAGGACCGTCAGCCGAGAATGCTAGGCTCGGGCCCATCACCTAGTCGCAGATTAGAACAGCTACCGTCCTCGTTCCCCGCACACTTACTCCGCGCCAGCTCCTAGCCTGGCAGCCTCTTCATCGCCAAGAACGCCTAACCTGCTCCGCTCGTTCCCAACCCACAATGCACAGCGCGCCTAGGGGGGACGTCACTACACGCCCCAATCCCAGAGCTGAGCCCTCGTGGCGTCATCAAGAACGGACCAATCGCAAGAGCGCATTCAGAGGGCGTTGCAGAAGAGAATGTTGGGAGCCGATTGGTTGCTCCTCTCCGGAAGTTCTGGAGGAAGAACTCAGTTGGAGCCAATTGCGCGGCGGCTGCGGCCGGCGGCGCGGTCAGTGGCGGCGCCGAAGAGA